TATATATATATATTGTGTAGTGGCAAATAATTTTGTTAAAATTTTAACTCATTAAATAGTACATAACTTTCGTTGCCTCTAGTTATAATACTTTCTAAAACTACGGAAATTCCACAGTAGTTGGAGTGTATGGATATTTTTGAAAAAGAAAACTGTTAATAAAATATTCATTTTGTTTATAAAATGAATAATTATTATAATTTTATGGAAGTGTTTGTTAATCTTAACAAAGGAAGCGACTACCGAGATTTCAAAAGTAATTAATTGTATTTACAAGAAATATTTAAACTTAAGAATATGACAATAAGAAGATGATAATATAACGATATTATTATATAATATTGTATGGATTGTTTTATTCTTATTATTGTATAGAGAATATAACAATAAGAAGAAGAAGATTGAGAATATAGCAATAATAAGATTAAGAATATAACATCAATGAGAAATAATAAATGATAACCAATTTCACTTGTTAGCAATATATAAAGATAAGTTTATATTGCACAACATTTGAAATTGAAATAGCTTTTGTTTCTTTTGAGTTTCTCATTTTTTTTTAATTGGTTATTAATTTTAAAGATTTATGTCTGGAAACATTTAATCTAAATATATTTTTCTAGAACAGGGGTTTCCACCTTACATGAGGCCGAGGGCCACAATTAACACACAAATCAAATGGCGGGCCACAACTTTATCAAAATTTTATGTAGGACTCTTTTATGCTTGAAGGAACTTCAAATATTACTGTTAGATTTTTACCAAGTTGTACAAAACAAAAGTATTGAATTACAAATTAAAATAAGAAGTAGATTTTTAAAAATATTTAATTGCATATTAAAAAATTCGGGCTGAAATAACTTTGATGTGCACCCATGTATTAAACAATTAATGTGCAACAGATATCTAATTGTTTAGATATAAAACTTTAAAAAGGTTGGTATTAAAACTTACATAGTAGCACACAAAATGTTCTATGACAAAATTGAGGTTTGTCTGCTGCAACCACCAGAGAATAGATATTAACATTTTAAATTTACAAATGTGTGTGTAAATATTTTCTTCCAAAATGTGTAGTTTCAAAAAGTTAAATCGGAGAATTTCTTCGAGAAAATTTCTGATACACACATGTTAAATTATATTCACAAAATGCAAAAAAATGAAGTAAAAAAGAGCAACATACACGATTATTTTTGCATTTAAATAAATGTTTTCTTGGATGCAAAACCTGAGAAATAATTTTTTTTGCATTGTTGGTATGATGTATTTAACAGAAAGGAAGAAATTAGGTTTTTATTAATGAGAAAAGTATTTTAAACCCATATAGATTTTTTACGAAAATTGTCCGCAAAAAAATGACAACTAATATATTTTAGTTCGCGGGCCATAAAAAAAGGCTTCGCGGGCCGTATGCGGCCCCCGGGTTTGCCAGTTGGAAACCCCTGTTCTAGAACAATGGATAAATGCTAATTATTTTTAAAAAAATCACGAAAAAAGTTTCGACAACTTTCAAACAAATTGAAGATTAGTAGTACTTCAGCGTGCAGTACATCTACTCACATGGCATTTAATAGTTGAAAATTTTTGAAATAATTATTTAATCTTACTTTTTTATTCTAGCGCATTTCTAGCACATTTTTCAACTCATCTTCGCAATTTCAAGTCTTAAAGTTCTTGCGCAGGGAAATAAACAAAAATAAAGAAAAAAAATTGGCAAAAATACTGAAAATTTCAATGACTTGCAAGCATCTTCAAACTACAAAATTTTTTTTTTTGATAAATTCATAAGCAAAAATGGCACATCAAATTTCAAGCCTGTTGCTGCATTCTTGCGAAGTGAAGAGCGGTCCTCACGGTATTTTTTGCAACAATTTTATGTTATTATTATTATTTTATATAGTTGCTACAACAGTTAAAAATTCTCAAACTAATTATTGAACCTTAAATTTAAAACTAACTAAATTATTGTTATAAATTTTAATTGTTTGTATTTTTTTTTTGACAAAAATTTACTTTCTTTAGGGCTGATAACTGCATACATTTGCATGGAATTTGCAGGAACAGCGACCAGTGCTGCACACATACGACAAAATTTTCCCACGTTCGATGCGTCTGTCGGATGGCTACAAGACGGGGCAAACCTATCAAGACAAGAAAACCAAGACCATGCCATTGCGGGAGAGAAGGACCATTTTGGGAAATATGGGCTGATGATATTAATGATCTCGGATAATATATAGGTGGTGAAGTATGGCAACCATGTTATGAAAATGACATTTTGTATGGTTGAATAAATGTCTTTAAAAACAAAAGCATTATTTTATTGGAATTCAAAGTTCTTAAATATGTTATTAGTTTGCCGATTGAACCCAAGAGTTTTGAGCCAGTTTTTTTGTTTTTTTGTTTGTTTCTAAGGGTCATTATTTTATTTTATAACCGTCGTTGAACAGCGGCACAATTTTTGAGAATATGACGACCTATGTTCAACTCCTTAGTCTTGTAATTTTGAACCCAATCCAGAAAACAAAGGAACTCATGGAACAGGTATTGGGGAAAATTTACTTTCGTGGCGGACTTTTTGGTAGAACTAACTCTCAATTTCGTTACATTGAAAGGAAAACTCCCATGGTTAGCCTGACGGTAAGGGTGTAACCTATGATCCGTCTACCACTGAGGACCTGAGGATATTTTAAGTTAGCATTGTGATAGGTGCGAGCGGGGTGCAGAATTCGCATCGAGCAGCCATGCCGGGATTCGAACCTGGGTGACCTCGTTGGGTGGCTAATGCTCTATCTCCTAAAGAACCACAGCCCTTTCCTAATGGTTTTATAACCGTCGTTGAACAGCCGGTCCAATTTTTTTGGGTTTACGACTACCAATGTTTAACTCCGTGGCCTTGTAATTTTGAACCCAATCCAGAAGACAAGGGCACTCCTGAATCAAGTATTGGAAGAAATTTGCCTTCGTTGAGGACTTTTTGATGGAACTAACCAGCATTTGCGTTACATAGAGAGGAAGACCATGAGAACCTCCCACGGCAAGGGGACACTAACCCATGATCCGTCTACCACTGAGAATATTTCACGCCATCACTGTGGTCGGTGCAAGCGGGGTGCGGAGTTCGATCGACCAGCCATCGCCGGGATCAAACATTGTTCAACTCATTGAAAGGCGAACGCTCTATCCCTTGAGCCATCGTGCCATCGTAATGGTTTGATTTGATTGGTTATAATTTGTGACACAATAGTCAAAAATGGTTAGTCACCTAACCTATTCCTTGAAAGGTGTTTTTTAAATTTCTTTCGGCAAGGAAAATAACAGTTATAATTTGAATGATTTTTATTTGTAGTAAATATCATATAGCTACCTTGCAGTAAGGAATTATGTAGGCCTTAAAAAGACAAATAACTTGAATATAAAAAAATAATAATAGATTATTTTCAAAATTCACCAATTTAGGGAGATTTTCAAAATTTTGAGGAAAATCATTAATTATCAAATAGTAATTCTCAATTTTCTCAAATTTTTTGACCCATCGTTGGAGTAACTTTTCAAACATTGAAAAATTAGATCACAAACGCTTTAAAAAATTTAAATCGGAAATGCTTTTCATTTTCACATAACTCCGACTGTAATTTATTATAACATTTTTCGCCATATTCCTGAGACCTGAAGAAATTAAGTTGCTGATTTTCAAAGTGGCTTAGTCAAATTAAACATGTTTAGTGCTAAATTTGCAGTACAGTTTAGGATTAGAAACCATTAATTAGAATATCTGAAGAAAGATTTCTATTCATGCATACTACCCCCGAATACACAATTAAAATTATACATTCCCCCGAATACACAATTAAAAATTTTGGCACATGTGAAACCATAACATTCTTTATACATTGTTCAAATTTGCTGTAAACATATTTATACAGTTCAAAGTGTAAGTGTAATGTGTGGCAAATTAATCCTTTATAAAACTTGATTCCACGATCTGATGATTTAATTTAACCCAAAAGACGGTTTGATTAAGACTCGAGATATCACTTTTATGATTCCGCTTTTGTTTTGAGAATATACGTAAATATCCAATCATTAAAGATCGAAAGTTAATTGCTTTTCTTCCATTGCAAAATAAATGAAAATGGAAGAAAATATTTTCGAATGCAGTAATGCATTTTCGTAAATTATTTAATAGTTCTGTTTATCATTCTCATTGAAAGTTTCAAGTTTTTTTTCTTCATCGCGTCTCTTCTAAAACTTGATTCCACGATCTTATGATTTAATTTAACCCAAAAGACGGTTTGATTAATATTCGAGATATCAATTTTATGATACCGCTTTTGTTTTGAGAGTATATATATCCAATCATTAAAGATCGAAAGTTAGTTGCTTTTTTTCCATTGCAAAATAAATGAAATTGGAAGAAAATATTTTCGAATGCAGTAATGCATTTTCGTAAATTATTTAATAGTTTTGTTTACAATTCTCAAGTCCTGAAAAAAAATAGAAATCAAGTTCATCTTTCTAATTGGGTAAAAGAATAAAAGTCATTTTATAAATAAATCATTACTTAAGAAGTAATAGACTTCAAGTAATACGAGCAAAAGCAATTAACTAGCATTGAAGCGTTTAGAGAAATGACCACAAATTTATATAGATTGACTTTAAGAACAAAAAATACTCTCAAACGATCACTAATTTGTTTTTTCCATGACAGCGTAACCGTTACGCGCGGGTCCAATGTCCTAAAACCGAGCCGCGCGCTTCTCTTTTTAGTTAACCAGTGAAGCTGAACACTTGATATACGGTCACCAAAAAGGACAATAAGTGGTCACTAAATGAAAGTTCTTCATCATAGATTTCTAAGTTTAAAAAAAAAAGAAATAAATGGAATTATCTAAACTGTAAAAATAATGGGTGGGTATTATTTCAGTTTCACGGAGTAACTTAACTACACCCAAGACATATATAGCATTAGAAAGTACAAAATTATTCCCCTTTTAAAAGTAAAGTATTCCCACAACATCTAATTGGAAGTTAAGACACCTCAATTTAGTTATCAATAGCTTAATGTTGGCAAGGTGAGCTCCAATCACATTTACATCTCAAACAAGTTGGAACCTATCAAATTTGAAGCTGTGTCGGCTTCACGCTTCCATCGGAGATCGAACCCTAGTTGTTCGCGAAAATAGCTTAGTGCCTTAACCACTAAGCCATTGGATCTCACTCATTTTACTATAATTTATATTATTCAATATGAAAAAACATTGAAAAATAATTGCAATTGAATTAATTATTTCCTATTTTCCAACATAAGATTCTTGCACGGAAATGTACAATCCAAACATCAAAAAATATAAAACTGAAATAAACTGACACAATAATTAAATAATATAGAAACTGATCTGTTTTTAAATTGAAAATTTCCTTTCTAGAAAATTGCTTATAATAATATAACTTTGGCGATAAAATAAAATTTTCCTATCCACTTTTGCATGTAATGTATATTTAAATATTCAATTTAAATTAGCTTGATCAGTGTAGGTTCATCCAAATTATGAGTAGGCCGAATAAAAAAATTTAGCTCCAAAATAAGTATTTTATATATTTTAATGTATATTTGAAGTTTTTCAGAAGCATGCAGTGGATTGAGGAGGACTTCACATAATTCAATTTTTTATGCTCATACACCTTTGGACATTTCATTTTAAGTTATTTAGGTATATTTTAAGCATAAAAGAAAAAAATAAACATTTTCTTATCATCTTTGAGGGACTTAACCCTTTAATGAAAAAAAATTACACCAATAAAATTAATATTTATAAAACTCTGACATAAACTAATGTTCGATTTTGTTACGTGCAATGATTCATTACTCATATTTCATGGTTAACTTTCATCCCATCGAGAAAGTCATGGTCAACTGCGACTGCTCTTCTTAACGGAATTGCAAACCCTATTGACAATAACTTTACAGTCGATTACTTTTCAAGCGAAATGTAATATTTGTTAGGAAAAATATTCAAGGAAGAAACGAGTCGTCATGCAAAAGTAAGATTTCACGCCTGAGGCAGATATGTTTGTGTGATTGATTGTGTGATTGAACGTGTGATTGGAACAAACGGTAAAAATAGCGAAAGGTAAAACACATCATTCTGGCAGTAACCAAATGTGTGACAATTAAAAAAAATTTCTAGTCAGTCGATATATTTTCTAATATGCTAAATATTACGAACGGTTAATTAGGGTCACTTTAATAATATAGCAATAATAAGTGACATTTAGTTAATTTAGGAACATCAACATTAATAAAATAAGATAAGAATTTTAAAAGCTACGTTTATCAAATAGATGTAAAGCAGAAAATTTTATTTTCGACTGATAAAAAGTCCAGCATTTTAAAAGTACGGTCTAGATTTAAGTAAGTTGATGCGACCTACGTTTTGCATATACGATTTGAAAGGTAGTTGTAAAATTCTTTTGAATTCATTATCTTCTTAATAGTTTCATCTCGGTTAGCTTTTTTTGCCTCAGAAAGAAGTTGAAATTTCGATCGGCGATAAATTTTACCTATGCCATTAAGGAAAATAATGTAATGCCATTACAATTTTTTCCTTAATAGCATTATTTTATTGTCATTAAGCACAAAGCTCTACATAATTAATCACAAAAAGACTGAAACGGTAAAATAGTAGGTTAAAAAACTTCACTGACTTAAAAAACAAAACAACTACCTACATGTCTAATAAGTCTAGCAAAAATAAGGTCCTATTTTTGTGAGTTTGAAACATGTCGACTTTTATTTTCATCTGCACACAGAGCTCTAGTTGACATTTAAGCACTCTAGGTAATCAGAAATAGTTTGAAATTGTGATTGACGATAAATTCTTTTTGGCAATTAAAACCCTACTTGTTGCTGTTAGGAAACAATGTTGTAGCAATTAATTCTACTTGTAGAGATCATAAAACGATTGACAACTATACCATCATCAATAGCATAAGTAAAACCGTTTGCTCCCTAGCTGGTCGGAAAGAGGTCAAAATTTCAGTTGACGATAAATTTCCCTTAGTGATAGATAGTGGTTTTGAGCACAAGGCTCTAGTAGAGATTTGAGTGCTCTAGTTAAACAGAAAGTATTAGAAAATTCGAATACGAGATTCTACTATCACAGACTTGAAATCGAGTTAATAAAAAGATAATATAAAATCTACAGCAATTGCAGGAAACAGATTGCAAAACAAATATTCCAATTAAAAACCAACTTTTTTAAAATATTGTAGAGAACATTAATATTCTACACCCATAGCTGATCTTAATATGATTTTAAACTGTGAGTGATTTTTGGAATGCGATTTAAAAATTTCCTCCATTAAGTTTTTTCAACACAAAAATTCTTTTCTTTTGTCAAACTGTTTGCAACATCACGATATACTAGTAAATGTAATAAATATAGCTTATCTCTTTTAGAACAGAAAAAAAATTTAAACTTAAATATGTTTGTCAAGATAATTTAAAAAAATGAAAAACAGTAAAAGTTCTAGGTTTGCTTTAATGTTTAACTTAAATTTCACCAAAAATTTCATGTAGTTAGAATTTAAATATCTTCTGAAATACCAATCAGTTCTCAAGCCATAGTGAAAAATGCGAATATAAGCAATAAAATTTGATTATTGTAGTGAAAACTTAATATTTTTTTCAGTTTATACGGATAATTTTTAAGTTCTGAACTTCGATGAATTCAATAAATATCTCAACATATTACAAACATAAACCACGTAATAAGTAGCCATCTTATTTTCGACTTTAAAAGTATTCGTAATTTATTCAGTCGTTAGTTGCAAAACATTTTCAGTAAATTTAAATCATCAAGTAAATTAATTAGTACAATAATTAGAAAGACAAAATAATTAGTATGCATATTTTTGTACTTATTTTTTCACTCATTTTAAGTATTTTATGATGAAAGTTGAATTTAATATTTTTTTAATAATTTTTAAAGAGATAAATCATATTTTGGTGAAAAACACATTTATTTGCAACAGGTTCATATCCTGAAGCCATTCTAAGAGCACTCTATACTTCGGCGATCTCCACAGAAAATTCGTGTCTCAGATTGCTACTGAAAAGATTCTACTTGTCAACAAGTCTAGTTCCTTAAAATAACTGAAGAAACATTTCATTTATCGAAGTCGAAAATATTGCAATAACTTAAACGACGCATTTGTGCAGCATTAGGAGCCAATGACAGTGCAAAACTACAAAATCTATGAAACGAACTTGGATTCTGATCTGAACACGTATCAAACATTCGTAACTAAAGAGAAAAAAAATTGGTACATATTTTTCAATTTTTAGTTTTATGTATTGTAATTAGCTTAATAGTTTCAAAAGTTTAACTATTTCAAATCCGATCATTTTCTGTAAGCATAGTATAAAAAGCGAACTTGCATATGATACAATTTCCAATTGCTTGATGATTGTTAAAAATCCTTTTGGGCTTTTCTACAATTTTTTTAACACTTTTCCGTAAACAATTAAGCCCTTTTTGTGTATGAGACAATAAAATTTTGCTTTCCTTCCCTTAAATATAAAATTGAAGTTTTTAACTGCTGAGGAAGGATGCAAATTGAAAAATTTTACAACTTTAGATCCTGGATACTTCCCCTTAAAAAAACTCATCTATCCAAATGCGGCTCATCTATCCAAGCCTTTTACGGGCAATATTTTTTATTGAATAACTTTATTATTTTTTTTATGATCTGTCACCTAATGCTGCCACAATAAAGTTATTTCCTAAAACATTAAACATTTACGGCATTAAAATTATTCTCTTAAATTTTCCTATCCGGATTGTCATTTTAATGTCAGGAATAACCCTTTCGACAAAGTGTGATGAACCCGGAATTCGCATTAGAAAGTCTATTTCAAACTTTTCGAACGCTACATAAAAACTACTTTTGCCTTTTATAACCTTTCACTCAACTTGGCAAAGAAGTCTGCACGCAAACGACTTTCACGTCGTTGCCAAATTTAAATCTAAGAAAGACCGCGAAGAAAGAAAGCTTTTTACTTTTGCGCACTGTAAAGAAAATATTCGAAAATAAAAATGAAAATATTACCTTTCTAAATCATAAAATCGTAACGCACGCTACAGCGTTCCATCATCCATGTAACCCAGACTACAACTTCAAATTATGAATTATAACGTCCACTTTGAGATCGTCTGATTTTTCCTCTTCAGTTTTTCGATCTCGAGTTTTTATATTTTTCACTTCAGATCAAAATGAGCTTCTCAAATAAGCAGAACTTAAAACGTGGCGGTTATTAATTTGATTCGTGTGATATGACTATAAAATGATATGTTAAATAAATTTCTGCCAAATTCCAAGATGTCCAAAGGATATCTATACCAGGTTTGTCATATTTTTGTGTTTACTTTATGTATTCTAATTGTGTTTTTTTTTTTCCCGGAAAGAAAATATTAAATGTTAAATTGCTTAAAATTTAATGTAAGAATTCAATTACAACATAAAAATCAAAACCATTATATTTAACAACATTTATTTTTATTTCCATAGATTTAAAACTACATCATAATGCAAGGATTGTAGGAAATATAGTGATCAACCACTTTTTTGTGGCATTTTTACAACAAATTATTCTTTAGAATTTTTTCTAGATAGATTTGAATTTATCCAATCCTAGGCACACAGTACTTTAATAAAATATTACTGCCATCAGACTAACAACCGGAAAATTTAGTGTTGTTCCTCTTCATAAACGCAATTTTTCCTAATTTAAATTGCATGCTTGCCACGCTTTCGCTTGGTTTTATTGGTTTAAAAAATTAAGCGAATAAGAAGAAATTATACTGATTTCTCAAATTGCAATGTGAAAAATAACTACATCGCCTTAAATGCAAGCAATGAGTCCGAGCGGCGCATATAATGGGGGAAGAAGACATCTGTCCCTGGGCGCAGTCTTAGAAAAGACCAAAATTTATGAAAAATAATTGAAAATAAATTTCAAACTTTAATCTAAGTTTTTTTTTATTATACTTTTCCCGTATCAAGTATCCGGCGTATAAAAACAACACGACGCATACAGCTAAATATCATACGGCAGAATATTCTACTGTTTTTGTGGCGATATAGAAGAACATATATATTAGACAAGGCATCAACCAAGTCGGGTGAACTGTAATAAAGTTGTGATGTGTAAAATAAGTCTATAAATAGAAACATGTCTTTTCAATCGCTGTCGAGGGTTTAGTCCTCACCTACCACATTTTGGATCGGGGTTCAACTCCCTGTCGTAAAAGCCGGAAAATTACTAGCACCATAAAAAACTAATTGGTGAGCTTAATTATGAACGTGACAGTATTGTCCTCGATCTGCAACTATCACCAATTGCCCAATAGTGCAAAGTAAACAACTGAAACAGAAAAAAAAAAACAGAATAACAGTATATAGATTTTTAAATTATTATACGGGTAATAAATTATATTTAATACAGTAAATAAAACAAATTCTATGAAATGTAAAACAATATAATTGAATTATCATCCAAATTATTTTCAACGTCATGAAAAATTTACTTGTAACAAAATCCGTTTTAGTAATATAAGAGTTATTAAAAGTTTAAGTATACTGAAGAAAAAAGAATAGTAAAAGTTTTTATATCGAAGAGTACAATAAATGCTGTTAAAAAATACTTCCATCAAAAAAATGCTTTCTTTCTGCATTAAAAAATCTTAAGAGCCACTTTCACTGTTTTAGGTGGTCAACTTTACTTTCTTTTACAGTGCAAAAACTATAACACTTAGAAAAATTTAAATAAAAGTATAGAAAAATGTATAAGACGTACGATGAAATGAAAGAAAATTAATAATCAATAATCAGTTCGAGTACTTGTTATAAAATATACTATATGGGCCTCTCTGAAAACAGCTGAAATGCTACTACAGAATTAAAATTCGACGTTTTAAAAGGGTTTATGAGTTTAGTTTAAATTGTGTTTTTAACTTGTAAACTTAACAAGAGCTTTCATTTATTTATTTTTTCAAAATTTAAATTTGTTCGTAAGTTTTCGTAATTTGAAGTATTTTTGTTTCGCAAACATTTCCGTTGTTTTTTGCCCTAGTCCTTTTATGACCGTAATGCACTTGATCATGCGATTCTCCCTATGCTGTCCAATGTATTAGAGTTAAAACAAGTCTTTCGGTCTCCAGCGGCCCGAGATCACGTGGACACAATTTCAATTTGGCACTTGTATTAGAACGTATACTCAAGGAGAGTTCGGCCCTGGAAAAGAGCTTCTTTCTCCTTTCGCCGGTTTTGAACGGGTTAAATAATGATTAATTATCCACTATTACAGAAAAAATTATTTATCACTCTCAAGATCTTTATTTTATAAGATCGCGCTTGATGTCAAAAGTTACAGAAAAAAGTTACAAAAACGATTGCAGAAAAAAGATACAGAAAATGAGTAAAGATAAAAGAAATAGATTTTGTCATACATAAATCTTGACATTTGTATCAAAATGCTAAAAAAATATTAAAGACTTCAAGATAGATTAAAACCGCTTCCAATTTTATTTGTTATATGATATAAAGGTATCGTTTTATATAGCTAACGAGTAAAATTACTTCTTATTGTGTTGTGTTACACATTCTGTATTCTTTTTTTTTAAGTACAGTTGATTATTCTTCAAATCCAGGTAATCATTTATTTCATTATGATTTACATATTAACAAAATGTTCTTACATAAAACTATAACAATAATATAGTTTATAAATAAAATCTCTATTTTTTTTTAACATTTTTTTTTGAAATATATCGACTTTAAAGAGAAAAGAACGAGAATGAGAAACGATCACAGGGTTTGGTTAGCGGGGCGAACATAAGTAGAGGATCCTAGTAGTAATATAAAAGTTATTAAATGTATCAGTAAACTGACAAAAAAAATAAAGAAAAAGGTTTAAGTCGTTATCGAGTTTGTGAGTATGATATATGCTATTAAAAATACTTGCAACGAAAACTGTTTTAATAACATATAAGTTATCTATAAAAATAACATAAAAGTCGAGAAAAAACATTGAAGGAGTAATCAAGCCCATGAATACGATGAATGCTGTTAAAAAATTCTTGCAACAAAACTGTTTCTTAAATACTCAAATTATTAAATGTATAGTAATAGTTAATTTAAAGAAAATTGACGGCATTGTCAAGTCCGCAAGTGCGACAATTACTGTTAAAAAGTCATTTAAAGTTTTCAACCTATTATTCAATTCGTATAATGTTAAAAATATTAATGCATGTTGAACCATAATATCATGTAAATCTTCTACAACCATAATAAAGTATAAGGTAGAACACAATTACCGCGCAAATAAATTACATTCAAGTTACTCTGAAGTTTAACAAGTTAATTACAATATCATAAACTCGACAACAAAATACTATGGTACAACTTCTATCATATAAAGATGGCTGAAATGTTTTACGATTTAAGGTTATTGCAGAACCGATTTTCGTAAAAGAAGTGAAATTAATGAAAAAAATATAAAAATTTCCGTAAAACTTTTTGTTGTGGATTTTTAGCCTAACAATTGGTGAAATTCAAAAATTTACTTTTGTCTAATGTTAACATTTATTTATTTGTAGCTCAGATCAAAAAAGAAGCAAATCAATCCAACTCCAAGCAATGTCACTGTTGTTTTATGGATCGTGACATCACTCCTGTTGTCTCAAGTAGAGGGTAGCAAAGGTAAAGATGGCATGAAAAAGATGTTGCATCACATGATGATGTCAGCGATGTCTTCGGGTGCAAAGAAGTACATGTTGGGTGTCAAAGGTCTCCTACTCCCTATACCTATACCTATGAAAGTATCATTACCTTCACTACCCACTATAAGCTTCATGAAAGGGGACGACAAAGGAGGAGATGAAGAGGAGAAAGTCAAATACGTCCCCGTCCCAGTGCCGTAAGTTTATTTCTTTCCTATATACACTCCTCAAAAGTGAAATTGCAACACCAAGAAATAATGCACGTAGCGTCATGCAAATTTCAGGAGCGATAGTAGTGAGACGGATATGCAAATGATTAAATTTGCGCACACATCTGATCACGTGGTACGGCTATTCGGGCTATAAAGGCCAGCTACTTTCCCTTCTCATAAACGGCATCTGAGGTTTTGCGTAGCATTAGCGACTTTCGAAAAAGCGTAGAAAATGCCTCTGATTCATCGGCGAGCTCAATACCATCAGTTAACGACCGGGGAACGTGACCGTATTATCGAACTCCACGAACTTGGTTTGTCGCTGCGCGCAAGAGCAACTCGTGTTGGGGACACCGTGAGTACCATCCAACGTTGTGTCACACGATGGATTCAGGAAGGTCTACGTGCACGCCGAAGAGGAAGTGGTGCGCACAGGTGCACGTCAGAGCGCACAGACCGGCGTATTCGCCAGTTGACTATTCGAGGCCCTTTCTCCACGGCACGTGCCATCCGCAGCCGGTTGCCTTCAGGAGCAGGTGGATCTGTGTCCACCCAAACCATACGCAACAGATTGCATGAAGTACAGTTACGTGCACGGGTACCAGCAACAGGGGTACCGTTGACCGCTTTACACAGGGCTAGAAACCTGGCGTGGTGTCATCATCATCGTACCTGGACCATCCAATGGCATCGGGAATTGTTCACGGATGAATCTCGTTTCTGTCTGTGGAGAAATGACGGCCGTCAACGGGTATGGCGGCGACCTGGAGAACGCTACGAACCAGCCCATTACGCCGAGCGTCACAACGGTCCTACACCGGGCATCATGGTTTGGGGTGGCATAATGTTTGATCGCAGAACGCCCCTGGTACACATTCACGGCAGTTTGACAGCGGACCGCTACGTCACACAAGTTGTGTATCCCGTTGTTCTGCCCTTGTTGCAGGGCGCACCCAACACGGTATTCCAGCAAGACAATGCCAGGCCGCATGTCGCACGGCGAACTCTTAACAGCCTGACTGGATTTGACATCCTTCCCTGGCCGGCAGCCTCTCCAGATCTGAATCCCATAGAACACCTATGGGATCTCATTGGACGTGGCATGAACAGAGGACCAATGGCGCAAACCATCGATGATCTGCGCACAGCAGTGGATGTGGCTTGGCAAAGGTTACCTCAGGCAACCATCAATGGAGTCATTGATAGCATGCCTCGCCGGATTGAGGCCTGTATAGCTGCCCGAGGTGGCCACATTAGATATTGAATAAATTGCTTTATAATGATTTTATTAGTCTGTTTTCTTAATCATTTGCATATCCATCTCACTACTATCGCTCCTGAAATTTGCATGACACTACGTGCATTATTTCTTGGTGTTGCAATTTCCCTTTTGAGGAGTGTATTTATAATTATTGATACTGCATAAGAATGAACAACAACATTAGCACCGTATCTGAAACTTCCGGTTACTATTCTTAGCAGCTTGTTGGCCATGCCTGGAAATATATGTAGATAGGTCATCAGCAACAATATCAGCACCGTATCTAAAATTCCCGTAAAGATTCTTAGCGAATTGTTGGCCATGGTGGGGAAGATATGCAGATAGGTGCATTTAAGAGAACACAGATTTAAAATACGTTGGTCACCAACGCTTCAACACTATAAATAATAATGGCAAACAATAAAATACGAAGTATTAATACACGATCAATTAAGGGAGAAAAAAAAAACTTAAAAATACTCATACACTGTGGAATAGATTTTTTTCACAATAAACAAAATATCACAAAAAAATATAAACAGAAGTGAGAAAGTTTATATTGTACACAATATTGTCCGGACAAAATAATGTCGGTTTGCAAATAGCATTATTATGATTTTATTAAATTCGAAATTAAAAAAAAGTAAATAAAAACATTTTGAAATATAAATATGCAGATTTTTCATGTAATGTATTACCCATGGTGAGATTGAACGTATATTTTAATGTCATAAGAATTGGAAGCTGTTGGAATGGACAATGTGAGGAAGACAAGCGGTAATGCTTTCCTCATTAGTGAATTCGAAGGATTTATTAACACTGACAATCAGACGAAATTAAACAATGTTTTAAACGAATATAAAAGAAAGACCGTTTTGTGCCTCGGCATCAAGAGATCCTTGTTGGCTTGAAGAAGATAAACTTCCTGAGTGGCATATTTCTTTAATATTTTAAATGTAAGGATTAGTTGGTTAAATCTCCTCGGCCCATTGAAAAAAAAAATAATTTTAAAAAATAAATAAAATGGTTTTAAAGTACGGTAAAAACTTTTCAAGGATTTATCCTTTAAATTCTTCAATTAATTTCAATTCCTTGCATTTTCTTAATTTAAATATAACTAGGAGGCTTCGCCCCCTGTTTGCTGGAGCTCGCCAACCCCCGGAACTGCTTTCGCAGTTCATTTCAGATTGCTTCGCAATCTGATGCTCGCTTTGCTCGCTCATAGGATACGTTCTTAACGTCTAGCTTTTGTATACTTTTTTGAACACTGAAGTTCCGAAAACTTTTCACTGCAGAAAATTCTAAACCTGTGCATTTCAATATTATTTTGAAATTGCAAACAGTTCACATTTTTTCTTAATCACACTATTCTAAATTTCAGTTGTTGAGAAAAGTAACTGTTGACTGTTGTAAGTTTTGTTTTAAAGTGTTTCCCTCCAGAGGGTTGAAACCATGTGTTGTAAAACAATATGAAATAGTACTGAACGCCGGATGTAAAGCATCGGCTTCGATGAAGATAGTTTTGTGAGAATTTGTTTGATAATTCGGTGAGAATTCATCCGATTAGACATATGATGCTCACTAGGTGCTCTTGCTCGCCGAAGCCTATCAATTAAAACGTATTAGCGTTTTATATAATATGGATTATATAATATGGATTAGCCATATGATGATCACTACGTGCTCTTGCGCGCCGAATCCAATCAATTAAAAATAAAAACTGTTGCCAGCGCGAGAAAAGAAATATCATCGGTTTTATTGATACATGCGTACGTATTAGCGTTTTATATAATATAGATAGATTTTCAAGTATTAATATTAATAAATAAGTATTGTATGTAGAAATTTAGTTCTTCAAATAAATTGTACAGTGCGCAAATTAAAAAACGAACCACCCTGAATAACTTTTGATCTAATAATCGGATCTCAGGACTCAATCCTGAAGGTTCAAGGAGGTGATCTCAAACATGCTAATTAATTAGTGCAAACGATAGAAGTTACGAAATCAGACACATAAACGTATTTTCCCTGAATAAACATATCTTCTTTTTGACGGATTCTGATGCCCTTCAAAAGTACAGGGGGTTGTTGCAATCTGGGAAATATAGTCATACTAGTTTGATCAAGAGGGCGGTCCAAAGTTAGGTCCCTTCAATGTTAATTTTACTTTTTGGGTATTTCATATCTCGAGAGCTTTTGAAACGAACTGAAAAATATTTGCACACAATTATAAAATTTATATAATGCAAAATATAACCCTTAGAAAATATTTATTGTGCTTCATTTTTCTGTTTAATAATAGTCGAAAAACTGTTGAAAACTGTTGTTTTAATAATAGTTATAAAACTTTTTACATCATTTTAAAGAATGTAATTTTAAATGGCAAAATTTGAGCGAAATCGTAGAAATCGAATTTTAAAAATACACCTTTTTCAGTGTGCAGCTACCTTCTTTATTTTGAGGGTCAGAAATCCGAATCCGTCGAAGAAAAAAGGGGTACGATTACTTAGAGAAAGTACGTTTTTGTAACTGATTTCTCATTTCAAAATATCGTCCGCACTAATTAGTCAGCATATTTGAGATCAATACCTCAAACTATTAAGATTGAATCCTAGAATGTGAAATTCCGAAGATCAGAAGTTATTTAGGGTGGTCCATTTAATTTATTTATTTCACTGTACACGTAAAGTAAGTAATAGTATATACGTTTTCCTCCCTCTCATTCTAAATAAGATTTATTTATTTAGATCCAAAGGAGGAGGAGGTAAAGGTGGTGGCTGGCCAAGTGGTGGCGGAGGTGGTGGCTGGCCAAGTGGTGGCGGAGGTGGTGGATGGCCTAGTGGTGGCGGAGGAGGTGGATGGCCTAGTGGTGGCGGAGGAGGTGGAGATTGGGCTGGAGGAGGTGGAGAAGAGGATTGGCCTAGCGGAGGAGGTGGAGGTGGTGGTTGGGAATCTGCTCTCAGAACCTGGAAAGCACCACCAAATTCCTTCAAAAGCAAAAGGAGACGACAAAACGAGAGCAGGACCCGTTGGAAAAACACTGGTGAGCCTCCATGGAAAAGCTCTAAAAAATCTAAATGGCGCGATACTGAAGAAACTGACTGGAAAGACACTGATATTGAAGATTGGCAAGACTCTAAGGGATCTGATTGGCCTGATCCCGATAAAGATATACCAGATTGGGCAAAAGCCGAAGGATTCGGTTGGGCAGGCGAACATGGAGATGAAGGGATTGATTGGGATGATTGGTGATCAGTAAAGAAACAATCATTCGATTAGTAGAACAAATTTTCCTGTAATCATCGAACTCAAACAAACTACTAACGTGGTTTTTAAAGATAGATTCTGAGTGTTACTGGATACGCACAAACTTTTCAATTGTCACTAAACGCGAGCCACTGACGATGATTTATCATTAGTGAAAGTTGTAATGTTTTCTTTTTCTATTTACACTTACTGCTTTTATTCATTTTTTTTCCTTGGCCGATTGAAAAAAACTATTTCAAAAAGGAAACATCATCACTTACTAAATATTTATTTACCATCATTAGTTTTTATATTTTCTATAATATGAAACCTCAGTTAAGAATTTAGAGAGAAAAGGGAAATGTTAAATCATCAAGGTATATAAAATATTCATTTTTTTGGTAAAATAAAGTATATATACATATATATATATATATATTATAAGAAATATTATTGAACTAGTAGTTCCACACCGAATTATTTTAAGAAAAAAGAATTTGTTTTCACTTTAACTATTTTAACTTGTTATTGTTAATTATTACGAGTAGATAAAAGTTAGTTCTTCACTTCGATTGCAAGTTCTTTAATCAGATGCATGACTAACTTGAGAACATGTATTACACAACTTAATATCTAATAAACAATTATAATAGATAACCCATTCATTGATAAGCTTTAATTATCGATAGTTAATCCAAGTTAATACCCGGATTCCTAAATTTTACAGGAATTAAGAAATTAAACTTTTTTAAATTCCTGAAACATTTAAAATTATCTTTTCGAATAAATCAATAGCTCAAAAATTTTATATTTCTAACGAGCAAGTACACTATCTGGTCAAAAGTATTCGGAAACCAAGTAATACGGATTTCAGGTATATGCAGGGTAGTTATAAAATAACTTTGCCGATATATGACCCTCTGGAGAGCACGCAGTTTGAATGAGCGAATAAAATTTTGTCGAAAAGTATTATGATCTATATGCTCAAAAATGAAGTTAAAAACGGTTGAGTAGCTCTCACTGTTACATATATAGTCAATAAATTTCAAATGACCACAACCTCCCTTTTTTGTTGTAGATAGACGCGTAATCCTTATGGTAGAAAGCTTTAAAAAATGGAATAAGAACGGTATTTTTAGCACACGAATGGAAACGCTATAGGCTTTTCCAAAGCGTCGCCATTTTTCGTGAGCACTAACGAGGAGAACTCGATAAAAACCTTTAAAAATGGATGAAAAAAATTGCAAAGAAAGCATTTAATGCTTTAAAAAAACTTTAACATGTCCATGCTTTCATCCTGTTTTTAAAGAGTTTCATTTTTAATCACCCTCTTTTCTCATTAATGATCACGAAAAATGGCGATCTTGAGCTGAAAATACCGTTCCAACTCCATGTGGTTTTCTACTGCAAGAATTACGTTTCGATCAAAAAAGTAGGTGTTGCCATTTGAAAATTTCGAAATTTGTCAATTATAACCACAAGAGCTAAACAACCGTTTTTAACACCATTCTTGAGCGCTAAAGACCATAAAATTTTGTTCCATTCATTTAAAAGGAATGCTATCTAAAGGGTCATATGTCGACGAAGTAATTTCATATTCATCCTTATTTCCGTGAATATCTACATGCGAGGGAATATCGACGAGCTACTACAAATGTATTATTCGAAATAAGAAAATCTAGTATGGAAATACCAGTCAATCTCTCGCGTCATTCAAGTTTTTCAAATGTTGAATTGCGCTCTGGCTATCCGTTAGTATCCATACTTCTCCAAAGCAGTTATCCGCCAAAATGGTCCTTTGCCTTTCTTCAATAACAGTAAGTTCACAAGTTTGGATTTGTAATTTTCATATTTTGTTCTTCATCTGGGGTCTTGATATAAATACCAGTGCCTGATTGGTTATATCCACATTTGTTTCCATCTGTGTATATTTTAAAAGCGTTCCTCGGAATCCTATCTATGACTTCTCCGGTGTGAGCTGTTTGAAATGCTTAGGGAGACTTGAACATTGGGGGAAGACTCTTGTAAAGGATCCATTCTGATCTTAAGGAAATGACCCTCTACGTTTTTTAAATAATATCCAGTGAATCAGCTAAACTTAACAAGCTGTTCTTTAACCTTTGGTTATTTTGCCATATCTGAATGAATTCCGCCATACGACGTTGGTTTCCACAACTGTTATTATAGTATTTAACTAGCCAAGTGTCTCTTCTCATGCTTAGAGGTTGAAGATTAGCCTCATATAATGCTATACCGTTTAAGCAAACTACTTCTCAAGCCAGTTTTGATGCGGGCAACATTCAATTGTACCCTTTCCAATTTCGGCAGATAAGAATTTGAGGCGCTTAAGTATATCGGAAAACCATACTCCAATATTGGTCTTATAAATGAAATCTAGGTAGTTCGAGGGGTGTCGGCGCAAGTACTCCATTTACGACAAGAAATATATTTAAGTAAGTTGCCTTTTTGTTCAAGTTTCTAACAACAGAGGAACTAAGGGAGCATGAAAAATCCCACACCATATTGCTCATCCACTTTTTTAAACGGGCGCCCGAGACTTTTGGGCCGGAAAGTTTAAATTCAAATTTATGACACCATTATTACTTAAAGAAAGTAGAGAAAAAAAAAGATATATAAAAAATCATTTAATACATAAAGATTTATTAATTAAAAGCCGTATGTTATATATATTTATGAACTATCTGCTGGACAGATGGAATTAAAATATATTATTATCACATTATTACATAACGTAACAACCAAGGAAAGACAACAAATATAGTTATTTTAAAACTTGTTTGGATTAAAAAGTTTCTGTATGTAACAATTCATTGCAGTATTGAACAAACGGTTTATCGATATAAGAGTCCTGATTTTTTAGCTTAGATTTTGTAAATTGCTTAGAAATATGCTGCTGCACCATATATCGTTACATTATACAAATCATATTAATTAACGCAAAAACAAGGGAATGTTTTTAACCTACAATGTTGCCAAACAGTTCATATTTTTAAAAAAAATCGGGACACTCTTATTGAAAAAAAATTGTTTATGTCATTGAATGTGTATCTTTTTTTATCATATGTGCTAATAAAAAAAAATATTAAAAACTCTTGTCATTATCATTGTTTCTTTTTAACGCATTTTATGACTTTATACAAAATTTCGCAAGTTATACATACCAATAATACGGATCAAACTTAAATTGCATTTTAAAGGAACCATTTTAATTTTAGCACTATCCTATTGAGATCTCAGAAACTATTCATCCGATTTCAATTTTGTTTAAAAGTAGAAGATGCCAAAAGAATAAATGCCGCATTGCAGAAAATTTGATTATCCATAGTACCATAAAAACAGAGTAAGTTTTGAGATTTGAGGAATTAATATTTGTACGAGCTGTCTGTCTAATAACACTGTACAGGTTGCAGAAACTCTTATTAATTTGTATTTCTGAAATGATCTTCACCCGCTGCAACAAAGAATACACATGGGCAATTCCATGAAAAAGGGGAAAAGCATTGGAAAATTCAAATAAGAATGATGTTATTATTTTGGATGTTTTCTGAATTAGAAAAGTTTGATAATTTATAACATATTTTTTTGAGAATTTAGTTTTTTAGTGTTGGTAGCCCATTAAACATTGGCATTTGCTTGTTCTGATTTGGGTGAAGAACGTAGTTAGATTTTGAAAATCAGTAATTTAACATTATTTTCATTTCAAAATGTTCCAAAAAATAAATATTGTTTATTACACTTAATAGAAATATTGTGCAGTGTTAAAATAAGTTTTGTTGTTAAATTCACTTAATTATATAAATTTCAACTAAACATTAACGCATGTAACGTAAGTTATTGTGCNTCAAAAATGGAGATTGGCATTTGCTTGTTCTGATTTGCGTGAAGAACGTAGTTAGATTTTGAAAATCAGCAATTTAACATCATTTTCATTTCAAAATGTTCCAAAAAAATAAATATTGTTTATTACACTTAATAGAAATATTCTGCAGTGTTAAAATAAGTTTTTGTTGTTAAATTCACTTAATTATATAAATTCAACTAAGCATTAATGCATGTAACGTAAGTTACCAAAAACTAGAAAAAGTTTCTATGTGTAAAAAAGAAAAAGTGATACAAAAGTAAGAATAATATTTTTTCTTTCTTAGAGGCTAACACTAAATAAGCAGCTATAGTTTTCTTTTCAAATATTACTTATTTACTGTTTTGTGCACTATTCAATGGGTGTAACGTAAGTTACCAATGCGAAATGTGTCTATTTCTCTTGAAAATTGGCATATAAACTAAATAAGATGTATCCAGATACAATACCAAAGCTTAAATAAATTATCACTGCCATAAGATATTAATTTTAATGAAAATCTTTGCATCAAGTTATTTAAATGGGTGTTGGCATTCATATGTTTTCAAAATTGGACGAAATCTTTCAAGTACCAGGAGTTAAGGATGTAGTTATAATTAGAGATGCTAATGGTAGCAAAAAGAAAGTGCAAGCACGGCATCTTCTTCATTCCGTTCGAGATATGCACCAAATGTTTATGGAAGAAAAATCCAGAATGCAAAATTGGAAAAACTAAATTCTTTGAGCTCCGTTCAAAGCATGTCTTGCTTAGTAGCAAATTTCTAAGAAATGTTTGTTTTTGTAAATATCATGAAGAGTTCGGATTGACTAAGGAAGCCTTCAGCAAAATCCATAATGTTCCATCTTTAGAAATTTATTTTATGTTTAGAAAAAACCGATGAGTGCGAGTCTCTAGAACAGATGAGTGGAATGTCTATTCTATTCTCAAAAGCTCCACAGATTAAAAACATTCAGCAGATCCACCGTTTAAGAGTATAAGAAGGCATTCCAGAAGGGTTTCTTTAGTGAAAGATATTGAAAAAGAAAATGATGAACCCAAGATAAAAGCTGGAGGTTGGCATATGGTTAGTTGTTGTTCATTTACGTCGCACTAGAGCTGTACAATGGGCTATTGGCGACGGTCTGG